TGCTAAGAACGAGAACTGTATGGACATGGAAAACAGTTGGTTTGTACCAAGTTACTATAAGCTTGTGTTGGCTTTGTTTGTTATGTAGGTTTGTGAAATGCATATAGAGTCCGATAGTCTAAAATTGCCAGTGCTGTAAGATGATTTTTTTCTCTTTTTCCCCAAGGAGTAGGATCAAGATGAATAGTAGATTGGCTTTAAAATGATTTTCACACATTTGTTTGTCTGAAAAAATGCACGTTCTTAAGCCCTTTTATACCGGCTAAATTTTCTAAAGTTTCAGGCTCACTTTCTTTCTGTTGTTTTGAGAGAGAGAGAATAAAATTCTTCTTTGGCTATTGTTTTGGAGGCCGGTGTATTCCTTTATAGGAATGTATCCATTATCGTAATTGTTTCAGTGATTTGCAGAGCCCTGATGAGATCATAGAGAAGTCACTTCAAAGTTTTGATGGCTCAACTGTTTGCGAGGATTTTGTTAGTCTGGTTCAGACATGGTTAAGCAAAATAAAGGTATTTTGAACTTTACCCACTGCTTTAGCTCAGCTGCTTGTTTTATATTGGATTTGCTGACATCTTCAGAAGTTCAATAGAATTTGTCCACAATATTACTAAATCATAATTATTTACTGCACTATGGCTTGACACAAAATTCAATTTTGCTTTGAGCGCCCACATACTTGTACACCAAACTTGAACAGTTTTGTTATGTCTTTTATATTCATATTTTTGGACTGTAATGGTTTTCTTTATTTAGATGTTATTACTGAATGTAAATAAAGTTGGCAGATGTGGAAGCTTTGTGCAAAATATTACATGCAATGCAGAAAATGATAGGTTTGCAATAAGAGTAATATATTCAGTATTTTGACTCGGCAAATGATAGTTTATGGTAAATCTAAGAAAAAAGTTCAACACGGCTTACATGGTAATAACCTGTCGTGATTTATGTGTCTGGGTCTCTGTCAATCATCACTAGGTGGTAAGACAAGTCATCAAGGTCCTTCTTACTTATTTCAAGATGTTTTATGGACCTTTCCGGACAGAGATGCAATTCTCTTTTTACAAATTTGAAAATTACTTTTTCTGGCGCATAGTTTCTATAAAAAAACATCAATGTTGAAGACCCTAAAACAGAATTTTCAATATTTTGTGGAAATCAAAAAGCTGAAGTAAGCATACTGTTCTTTGTAATTTGGATAGGTGTGTCTTTATGTGTATATACTTGTACATATATTTGTGAATTTCATATGGGTTTCGGCTTTGTGTTCTTGTAAGGGGAATTTTCTTTTTCTGTTTTTGCTCATTTAGATTCTGTTCCACTATAATGGTAAAGAGAATAAAAAATGTGCGATACTGGTTCTTCATTTACATGTGACCTTTTCTTTGCTGCCTGCATCCTACAAAAAATTATCATGCTGAATTGATGTTTATGCTCTTACATTTTGTTAGTCTGCTCAAATCTCTAACATTTTACTGGTTCTATTTGTACCCAATTGTCAGTGGTCAAATTTATTAGGTGGAATTTTTGGTGAGACTAATCAGAGCGAGTTAGCAGCTTTCGCCTCATATGCCCTTGCGTTCCCCAACAACTTTCTAGCTCTTGTTGACACATATGATGTAAGCCCAATTTTGGATTTTCTTGTTTAGTATTGTGTTGAAATTAATATTTCCTTCGTTAGACAGTTATTAGAGTTGTTTAGTGCGGTGGTTGAGCCAAAACTCATCACTTAGCTAGCACTCCAGTAGCTGGGTCAGGGTGATGTCCATACTAGTCACACTCTTTGTCGATTGTGTATAATTATGTAGATCTATGGCTCTTATTTGTTTCTCTAGACCTTATCTTTATGCAAGAAAAATAAAATTGTGCGAATCTTGCAGAAACTACAGTTTTTTGGGGGATCATGAATAAGCCCTAATGGTTTTAGTCATGCAAATAAGTTAGTTGGTAGATAATGGTGTATGTCAACAGGTGTTCTCCAATGATTTGCATTCCAAACTTGGTGGGATTTCGTAGGTTTGGTTATCAATCTTGGTGGAATCTTCACTTTGGCAATTAATATCTTACTTACTTATGGGGGCATCCAGCATTGCATAATGGATTTTTGCTATTTTTAACATCTACTGTTGCCTTTGTGTTACCAGGTTATGAGAAGTGGTGTTCCCAATTTTTGTGCAGTTGCTCTAGCACTAAACGATTTGGGGTATGTCCAAAAGGTTTCCTCATATGGTGGTTCTATTGATTAAGATATAATTTGAGTTAGCATGGGGTTGTTGTCATGATGGCCCATTGCTCAAGTTCAAATTACGATTTTATGGGTTATCTGAGTCGTGCAATGTTGCTCTTTATGTGTCATGCATGTAATATTAGCAAACTGAATTTTTTTGGACGATTGGTTTTGTTAAAGAAGGGCTGTTTTTTGAATTCTGCGTGAAGGTTCTTACATATAAATAATTGCCTGTTACTGGTCCTTTTTATACCATAAATATAGCATATATGTAATGCAAAAATATTGGATTTGATAATATTGCGTGCTTTTCACTTACATCGTTGCCAACATGTAGAAGGTTCTTCAGGGTATTTTTGTGTTCAACATATAATACAAAAAAAAAAAAAGAGAGAGAATTAGTACGAGAATGCTTTGACAGGCTTACTTTGTGTTGAAGGTTGTGAGCATTTTATTTGTCCAAAAGATGACCTTGCCCGAGGAGCTTGATAATGTTGTTGAGATGGTGTGACCTTTTGAATTGAGATGACTGTGAATTGATATTAATGCATCAAAGTGCAGTTATATAGGTAGCAGCAATAAGAGGACAATGGTTCAGTTTTATTCATGGAAGACCTATGATTCTACAGTTAAAGAGCATCATGGGTTCAAGTTGAAGGTTTTCACCTACAGGAAGAGGTCTGCAAACAGTGGTGGTTGAAAAACATGTGATGTCAGTGGCTTAGAGTCAAACAGATATTAAACTCTTGAATACACTGATAGAGTAGATTGGTGGAATAGTTAAACACATGACTGATGTGTCACTGACTTGCAGAGGCAGTAATATATTTTTGGCACTTCATTGCATTTGTTAGTTTTATTTTCACACATGTGCTCAGATTGTGTGTTGTGCAGGTATAAAGCAGTAGGCATTAGATTAGACTCTGGCGACCTTGCATATTTGTCTTGCGAAGCCAGGAACTTCTTTTGCTCTATTGAGAAGGAATTTGGAGTATCAGCTTTTGGAAAGATGGGTATCACGGCTAGCAACGACCTCAATGAAGAAACCTTGGATGCCTTGAACAAACAGGTAAAAATCATCCAGAAGTAACAATTCAAAAGATCTTAAACACACAAATTTCTTAGATACTCTATAATCCCCAGTTTGACTTGTCACACTGGTTAACACCACCCCAGTGAAAGCATTACTGCCAATTGTTCCCCCATACATACCCTTACTGTACGGTTTGAAAGTGAGTTGCTTGTAACTGAGGACTTGCTGAAAATTTAGTTGTTATTACAACCTGACATTTCGTAAAGGATGGCAATCTTTTACAGTCATCCAAAACTGGAAATGAGGACTTTTACTTGGGGACAGAGGGACTACTATTGTTACCAGTCTTTATGGCACAATTGAAACTATGCCAACTATAAGCAATTCCAATTCTGCTTCTTATAGTTTGGTTAATTTGCCACACGAATTGGGTAGCTCTGAATGTTTCTGCCTTTGTCTCCATTTGGTTATAATCAAGTAGAGCTTTGACAAATTTTTGACACATCTAGATTTCTGGTTGCCTCAAGTTAGTTTGACCAAGGATATAGTCTGCTCTATTTAGTAGTTTATAGTTGGAAGTATAAATTGTCATTCCATTCGAGAATGATTGACCAGAATTCTCAGCTGACATTTGCTCGCCTATCTGTGTTTCACTTGAAAAAAAAAATTGCACTGGGGTTCTTTTGTATGTGTGAGACTGTTTTTCGTATTATGAATTCCTGGCAGATGAGCCTGAATATCATAGTCATGATGGTACTCTCAGGAGTCCGAGATTTTCACCCATGTCAATCTCTGAAAGAATTGCATTCCCTCCCCCCCCCCCCAAATGCAACCTTGATTCTGCAATGCAACTTGATAATATGACGAAAACAGCAAATGACCCCTGATTTTCTTTTTAAGTTATGATAACCTTGGACCGACTGGTTGACGGCGACATTGAGGCTATAGTAGGCCATTTCATGAACATTTGAGCTTGGCTAAGTTAAATAAACTACAAGGTGTCAATGCATACTAAAACATACTTAAAAAGGCAAAAAGAGAGAAATATAAAGCATGCTTTGAAAAACCCACCGGATATAAACATCCAGAGCTGAATAGACAACAAGCTTCCACCCATCTCTTGCCATGTTTCTATATTCGAAGAGTCTGGGCCACATACGATCAAGAAGTTTTTGACAATAATCCTTAATCTTAGTTGAATTATAAAGCATCTAACTTGCTGATGTAATGACCATTTCAGCTTTTCTGTAATTGCTGCATCTACTAGTTTTCAGCACATAGGATCAATCTTTAATATAATTTTTCTGGCACCTGAGATATATTCGAAACCATGAACTAATGCTCAATACGTGCAGATGACTCTAGTCAGAGAGATTTGCGTTATTTGTTGTTCTCTTTAATTACGATTTGTCTTCTAATTTGTCCATTAGAAAGTCTTTTTACTCCTTTTCCCCCCTTGCACAGGGTCATGAGGTTGATGCGTTTGGAATTGGAACCCATTTGGTGACATGCTATGCTCAAGCTGCTCTAGGTGTTGTTTTCAAGCTTGTTGAAATAAATAATCAGCCGCGCATCAAACTTTCAGAAGATGTTTCAAAGGTTTGATGAAGCTATGACATATTATAGTGGCATTCTGTGATTCATCATAGAGATTCATTATGTTTTGGGTTTAGGTCTCTATTCCATGTAAGAAACGGTGTTACCGATTGTATGGAAAGGAAGGTTACCCCCTTGTAGACATAATGACTGGGGAAAATGAACCGCCTCCACAGGTATTTTTCTTCTATGGTGACCCTGCTTATCTCCTTGTGTATGTTGTACAAAGATTTTAGTGTTTTTTTTCTTACATGATTTGTTCGTGCACTTGAACTATTTTTAACGAATATAATAACATGTTAGTGAGGCTACACATTATCCAGCTCCTTCACATAATAAGTCCATCGCTGATGGTGGAATATGCTTCTTGAATCACAACAGCAGCTATAGTTTCCACTACCTAGCTTTGGACAAAAAAATAATTGATTTCGGTTTTAGAATAGTTCTAGTAGTTCCTGAGGTCTGAATCAGTTGCATTTAAGGGTAATCTCAGAAATCATTAGTCGCTGTAGCCCAGAGAGATGCGAAGGACTTTAATCTATCCCATGACTACTTCACATCCTCAACTTTTGTTTAAAAATTTCTGCTGTTTCTATCCATCCATAACACCCAAGTATTGCCATAATAGCACAGACCCAGAATATTATGATTGCAGTACTAATATCATTAAATGAACATTACAGTTCTCTAAAACTGGTGAAAATGTGCCGTGTCTGGGGCAATAAGCTGAGTTCAGATATCTTATCTATCATTTTGCTAATCTTTTCATTATATAGCTTACCAATTTCTTACTTATCAGAGGAAATGACAAACATATAGCTTACATAATATTATGGTATATGAAAAGAATTGTTGCAATCCTTATATTTTTATTCAATTTGCCTTTGAAACTTGAAACATGCAGGGCCTTGATGTCATTAATGAGTGAATTGTAGTCATTAATTTGTTTTGGCCCCTTTTCTGGTTGAAACCCCATTGAACTTCATAGTGCAGTTTCCTTTGTGAAGGTAAGCAATAAATGAGACAGACTGAATCCAACCAGTTTCCGCTGTGTTTTCATTAGTAAATGTAGTCTTAAAGGTGGCTTTATATTCAACTCCACAAAAAAAACATAACCACTAAACGGAAGTTTGATGCCTTTTACTTATGGGGCGATGGATGGAGTGTGGGTGCTATCCTGTAATCTTGAGAATCATCAGTTGTTTCAACTATAAAATGAATGCCTATGGTCGAAAAAGAAAGTGGTGTGTGTATACAAATTAATGAGCCTCATACAAAGTTCAGTGGCCGAAGGAACACCCATAATGAAATTTGATATGCTGCTTAATTTTTTCTTGGTTTGGAGATGCTGAGTGTTGAATTGACCCATGCATCCTATTAATTTATTGCTCTCGTAATAATTGGATTGTGAATCGAATACTCTCAGTTTGTTACTAATGTTTAATCTGCAGGCAGGTGAAAGGATTCTATGTCGTCACCCATTTAATGAGTCCAAGAGAGCATATGTGGTGCCAAAGCGTGTAGAGGAGCTTCTAAAGTGTTATTGGCCTGGCAACTCAGGTGAGAAGTTTACTCTGTTAGGATGTTTATCTAAACATTCTCAGATGGCCACATCTTATTACATAATTTTAATTGTGTATATACTGTCTTTCTAGAAGCAGAAGAAATGCTCTGATCAATTATATATTATATTTTTAAAAATTAAAAAGAAAATGCCTTTTTTTTGCTATCTGAGTGAGCTAGACCAACCCTTTGTCCAGCTTATCAGAAACTTCATGTATCTACTATTAATGTCCAAAAATTTGAATCATTTTATTGCAAATTCCCATTGATGTCATCCTATTTCCCTATAAGCACGTACACATTATTTTCATGCACTATTTCCACAAGGCTGGCCTTATTCTTTGATTTGTTTCTCTCAAACTTTCACTTATATGGCCGTCTTCTATTTTCAAAGTTAAGGCGAAATAACAATTGCAAACTCCTCTGTTGGAAAAATCTCTTATTCTGTTCATAAAAGTTATGTAATGTGGTAATAGATGGAGTTAAAGGACCAGCACTTTCTTAGCAGTAAATATGTGAAATTTGTCAAAACAGCTTTTAGTAATATATTCAAATCCCCTTATGATGTGATCTCGGTCTGGTTCTTTGTGAAGACCAAGAAAGAGAAGAGTTACCACCGCTTAAAGAAATCAGGAATCGTTGTATTAAACAACTGGAGCAAATGCGGCCCGATCACATGAGGAGATTGAACCCAACACCCTACAAGGTACCGAAAATACATTTACTGTTCCATCAGTCATGGCTCTATACAAACTCTATTATGAATATTTGCTGGTTTCAGATATGAAAATATTCATTGTTACTGAGCAGGTTAGTGTGAGCGCAAAACTGTACGACTTTATTCATTTCCTATGGCTCAATGAGGCACCTGTTGGGGAGTTGCAGTGAGGATGTCTGACAGAATGTTATGCAATGGGCATCATACTAAATTGATGCCATCTAATGATTCCAATGAAGTTGGAGGAGCTCCTTGAAATAGCCATGGATTATTTCCAGGTGTTAAAATGTTCTTTTGTTTGTTGTTTTTGAAGAAAAATGTTTCTGTTGCTTTCTTAATAAAAATGTGTATCATTTTGTTTCATTTTCATCTAGTGAAATTTACACAAAAATCATAATGGTAGCCCTTGCAAAAGGGTGTATGTTGCAAAAGCACTGGGAAGACTACATTAATACTACAATCCAACATCTTTTTTTCTTTTTTTTACCATTTATTTATTTTTGGCATTTAGCACCGGTTATAGTGAAAGGAAATCACGATCAAGTTTTTATAGACCATAAAAGTTATTGATCAGAGCTTCAAGATTCAAGAGTCCTATACCCTTAAAGATGTACATTAAGCTAATGTCCATGTCTCTGTTTTTTTTGCTACAAGAAGTTTAGACTTACATTGATTATTTTCTCACACTCAACAATTGAGTATTATGACTTGAGTTAAAATATATTCCTAAGAAAATAAAGATGGTTAGCCTTTAAAAGGTGTGAAAAGATATTATACCTGAAATCTCCGAATTATAAAAAATCTAACTCAGAAGAGATTGTTTAATTGTTGCATTAATAAAATGAATTGAATTAAATAATACAATATAATACCATCTAAGGTTTCAATCTAGATATTAGTGAAAAAAATTGTATTAAATAATACAAATAATACAATCTAATACCATTTAAAGGTTCATAAGAGTCGATCTGAATATCTTACTTTCATCACTATGTTTCCAATTGTTTTCCATAGTTTCGAAAATCATTTGGGTAATTGTTGTGAAGATTAATCACGACTAAGTTACATATACATACCATTATAGGAACTGATATTAAAAGAATAATGTGCTACTAGGATCTAACCACAGGGCAGTTGCCCACAAACAGCTACTTTACACAAGATATCTACATAGTACATGGATGAAAGAATTGCTTTGACTGTGACTATATACGTGTGAGTTAGCAATTAAATTGTAACTGTAAGGTCCTTCAGCTGCACCCACCCATAGGCACAGCGATCCCGCAACTTCTGTACTGTTGACGCTGCCAATTCAACCAAAGCCCGTATTCTCACAAGCTCTTTCTCAACTGGTATCCTGATCTTATTGTCTACCTGAAACTCCCAACAGCATGACAATATAACAGTTAATGTCCTCCATCATATACACAAATATACAAGAAATCGAAGAGAAATATTGCCCAACTGAAGACGGGAAACATTAAAGGAAAACTTGGAACCTTGTCAAGGCAGCGTACAGTATCAAAGACATGGCAGAAATAAGTGAGCTGCTTGTACAGATCTGCTTCCGTGTACTGATTAATGGGAGTAGATTTGCACCAAAAATATAAGTGAAAAGTTAGAAGACTTCAATTTTGTTGAAAGAAAGAAGAATGAATTGCTTGAAGTTAGTGGGAGTGAGGTACAAAACCTTGATTGCAAGCCGCCCATTACAGCGAGGGTAGTTAGGACACACTGTTCCTCTCTCAGAGTCACCGATGACTCGCAAGTTCAGGCTTCGAGTGGTGTACATGCAAGTTTCATCGTCGCACTGAAGATAAATTTACCATTAGTCCAATCTAATTATCTTAGGTTCTTAAATCATGACTACAGTTTGATCCACACAAAGATCTTCAGTAGATACCATCATTAAGCCCTTGTAGTATGTTGTTATGAACCTTTCTGCTTGCCTTTTTACCTGACAAAAACAAGGAGAATCAAGTAGACGTACTTGTGCAAATAACTGAATATACATAGGAGACTTCGTAGATGTGTCACAGTGCAAATTGACCATTATATAGCTTCTGTGAGGACTAGCGGTATTATAATATGACACGACTCATTAACACGATACAAAATCATTAACGTAGAATCTAGCATCTAGAAGCTCTTTATTGGTTAACGTAGTCAGATCCCTCTAATATAGGCAGGCATGTCAATTTTAGACAACATACAAAATCAGCATAGAATTAACGGAAATTCTATGCATCGAAAGTTATAATTTTTAATGACAAGGTTATACTTTTAAAAAGTGAAGTTATAATTAGTTAAGAAAAGTCTATGATCGATCATGGTTATCCATGGTTGATTATGAGATTCTCTTAAGCAATTATAACTTCGTAACTCAACTTTTGAAAGTATTAATTTCCATAATCGATAGCAGTATTTTAGGATCGATCATATTCTTGTAAGTTGCAACTTACGCCTTGGCCTTAAAAAATTGTAATTTTTGGTACAATGCCATAGACTTTCCCTTATTAATGGGTTTGGATTGAACTTTTGACCATTATATAGCTTTTGTGAGGACTAGGGGTATTAAAATATGGCACAACTCATTAACAAAATACAAAATTAGAGGGTTTAAGTCTTCTTTAAGTTCTCATTTCGTAAACAAGTGGACCCGATATGATATATACTTGTTACACATAGTTCATACAAGATACGAACCTAATATAATGCAACTTGTTAGAAACGAATTGAATGTGGAGTGAGGTACTTCTTGACACGAAGCGACCTCACCCGACATGATTGACAGGCCTAATGAGGACGTTGTTGATATAAAAAATATACCCCAATCAGATGGTCTGGACTCTATTTTTTGATACCATTCTGAATATGTTTTCAGGAATCCATTCTGCTCCTGGGGGTTGTAGCATAAAGTAAAACAGGTTAGATTCATGCCACGACATTTTCCCTCTTGATCTCTTGCTACATATAATGTGCTAATGGAAGTCTAGGATCCATAATTCTAGATGATGTCAATTTAAATAGATTAAGTTGTTCAAAATACCACAGTAGAAGTACCTGGTTGGCTATCAGTACAGGAGATATTCTACCCCCTTCGCCTTCCTCTGGGCATTTAGGGCAATGCAAGTTGCACCAGAAATTGCTGGTGGAACCCCCTGCTTGCGCGTCTGTTGGCTTTCCACTGATTGATAAACATACGGAACTGAATACAGGTGGGCAATCAAAAGTACCAGAGCAGCTGGGACATGACACAACCAAAGGCTCACAACCCCGGTATCTGCAACGCACATTACCATTGGTAGGCCAAATTAAGTAAAGATCCAGGTTCAAGTGACAAGGACAGGAGTACTTGCAATGAAAAAAAAATAATACCAATAAGAAAAAAAAGTCCATCTTAGTGACTTGAAAAGCTAAAAGCAATTTCTTAAAATTCCAGTTTTCTTCATGAAATATTTGTTCGAACAGTGATATATACAATGGTTTGATGTATACATAACACATCACCTGATTGAATTCTAGTATATATATGATGGCTTGAATTGAAGATTACAATATTAACCCAAATACCCTTCACTGAAATTCAGGCATCAATCAGGCCCTTTAACAATTTGGAATTCAATTACAATCTTATTGCGGGGACCAATTGCAACATTAGAAGAAGAGAAATGGTTACCTTTCCTCATCATCTACTGCACATAAAAGTAAGATGGAAGGATCGTTGTTGACAGCTTCACTTGATTTACTTTGGAACTAAAAGAACCCATCACTCGTGATGTTAATTACCTATACCATACTGGAAAGGTGATGTGATAAACATAAGGATGGCTTGGAGGGAAGACACTCATTACCTTGGATGAGTCAAGCCCTAAACAATCAGCTAAGCGTGCTGGGCTTGTACCCTGAATTGATGCACATAGACGTGATACCACAGGATGAATCTGCACAAGATGAACAAAGCTTCTTAGCTTCCTGGCTCATGAGTATATTGGAAAAACAATGTTAGCCATGACACGTGTTTAGATCAAAAGATAGAAGCAAGACCTGCTGTGCCAGGTAATACTCAATGTCAATTATCCATTTTCCGTTGTCTGTTTTCAGTTCATCAGGATGTCTTGCCCGCTGAGCAATCCCTGTTGAACTACTGGAACCATTTCCCTGTCCATAAAAAAGTGCACAATCTTGGTGTTGCATTTCATAAATGAAAAGAGACGATTTTAGAGAGTTGTCATGTAAGTTGGTATAAAACACAAGAAGGCAGCAAGCCAACCATGACAGACCTGCTCACAAGAGATTATATAAGGAACTGTATCTCCAGCGGAGCAACCAGTGACATAACCACTTTTCTTCAATCTAAGTGCTACCTAAAGAAGAACAGACGAAGTAAAAAAATACATACAACTAGATTGATGTGGAGGACATGCAGAAAAAGCATTCCAAGAGAGGTAAAGTAGAAAAGAAGGTTCAAATTGGATAGATCAAACAGTGCTTCCTCTTGGACTCACTTCAACATGAGGTTGACTCTTCGCATCTGGGTAGGCTTCAGGTGGTTTAGTCAATGACTTTGTAATGACATATTTCTCCAGTGGCACTTGCCCATTCCTCATATCCTCTTGTACCTGTTTTACATTTCCACAAACTAGATCCTTTAGATTATCCAGTAATAAAATGCATAGCATTCAAGCATGAGTGGTTTCATCCTTTAAAATCATATGACAGCAAACCAAATGGGCATTTTAAACTTCCACAAGGATCCACAGATGACCAACCTACAAAATCCTATATCATTTTGTTAAAACTTACTAAGCATTTGTCATTTTAATCATGACATTTCTAAAGAAGACAGATATGATTCCAAAAGTTTGAAATCCATTCTTCAGATATTTTCCCTTCTCAGTCATTCCACTTGATTTTTTATTTTTTTGGCAAAAAGGACCAGTTCAATTCTGATGCATTTCCAAGCTGCTTTTGAGCCCATCTGCTCACATCGTTTGAGCCAATTACACAGTTGTCACTCGTTTTACAGTACTTTACCCAAAGGAAAATCCAAATTTAGCTGTTTAGGTGATAAATATTCATATATGCTCAGAAACTTACCTTTCTGAGAGAGTTGTGTATCGATTCAACCACATCCTCACACGACCTGTGTTGCATAAAAGCCATATGCATTTTGAGATTCAGAATAGAACTGATGGATGGTCTTTCTTACACTAACAAATAATCATAACAACAGAAAAGTATAAGTAAATATACCCTCCAGACAATATTTGACTCAGGCAGAAATCTCCCAGTTCCTTTGATAGCAAGCTCCAGTCACGACGAACCATATCAAGACCTTTCCGTTCAATGACCTGCACCCAAAAACAAATTCTCTGACATGAATACAACAATGTAACCAGTTCATAAGAATTTGTAGAGGATATACACTTTTAAAAGCTACCTCATATGGTGTGCCATCTTTAAACTGCACTTTGACAGCTGCATATTTCTTTTTCTTCAATAGCAGCATTCTCTTGTATATGCCATCAAGATCAATTTCTAAACACCTATATTTCTTGTTGACCTAAAATGAAGGAGAAAGGAGTGTCACACTTTATAAATTAGTGTCATGACAGCGAAGTATCCAAAGCAAACAAGTAAAATTATCCATTCTAATTGCTGTGCATGTCAGAGTTACAACAACGTATGGCTCTGACTGGAGAGACAATAAACAGAATCAACCTTTTTAGATTACCAGATTCTTTAAAACCGTATAAATATGATACGCCAAATTATTTTCCAGACATTTTAATTACTGTAGAAATGCTGGGTTATTCAATCATAGAAGCTAAGGAACCTGAGTCTTGACAAGACAGTGCAGTATAAGGAAATGTATAATTTTTGTTACTCAACTACATATATTGACTATCTTGATTACTTGTTCACTTAACAAGTAGAATATTCAAATTTTACAATCGAAACCCCACCTCTTGAATGACCTTCCCAGCAATCACTTTGGCTTTTGAAATATCATCAAGTCCACTATAAATCATAATTGAATCTGTGTCACCATAGATGACCTGTGCTAGAAACAAAAAAATAATTCATGTGCAAGCATTTGGCATATTTTAGTAGCTCAAATGGGAGAACCCACAAGCATTAAGAATCTACATTCATAAAATTCGAGTCTAAACAAAAAGTAACCTCTAAATTTAAATTATTCTGGACAAGATCAACAGTACTTTGTAGGATCTCCCGTCCCTGCACAAAAATAATGTAAGATGATAGTATTGTGCTCAGGCAAAATCTGCCCACTTGAGAGTCATTTTTATTGCAATTCTACCATAAGAACATATTTCTTACTTGTAGTGTTATAAGCTCTGCAAGTGGCTTTGCATAGAATCTGGAATTGGAAAACCCCAGGCATCCATACATACTGCAGGCCACAGATAGGTAGAGGGTTGAAGGGGGAGGAAAACAAAACCATGAAGAACCAAAGACAACTATAGTGAAAGGAACAAAAAACAGCATGAGCAATAAACACACCTATTTGCAGTGAGCTTCAGCGCTTGCTGTTGTATGTCAAGCTGCTGGACCTTCAGACCAGATGCAGTTTTTAACCATGACTTCACCATTCTCCTTCTCTCAACCAAATTTTTCAGCAACTACAAAAAAACATGTCAATCTATAAAGGAAACTTATGCATTTCTATATTGCAAAAGAAATCAAGATAAAGAAATAAGAGGTCCAATATGTAGGGAATAGACGAACACATTCTTTTTTTCTGAAAAAGGCAGAAAACAAAATGTAATGATGGTCTCGGAAGGTAAAGCAACGATGTTCAGAATCATTCTTCTCAGTGTAAAATATTCATTCAGTCTCAAATTATAGGGAATACACAACTAGTATCTATCTTCCACGATCTGAATACACATTTAATAATCAAAACATTTACTCATCTCCCTTTATGATTATGTGCCACTATGCAGCTGTCAACACAAGAAACTTTTCTTTGCATTTTTTTAATCTGGTAAGCAAGCGAATATGCTGGCAGGCACTTACAGGAAATTAGGATTGAAATTCGGACCATGGTGGTATTACGGCACAAGTCAGTAATAAGCAAACATCGTGATGGGGAATGCAAAGGGATTGGATGATGCACGATTGAAGGTTGGGGGCTATGAATTGTATTTAGTATCATTTTATGATTTAGGACTGAATTACGTAATTTCTTTATTATTTTGGCAATTAGTTTTGTTCAGTTCCTTTTTGAACCATTTTGAGAAGCCTATAAATACCAGGCTTAGTATACCTAGAGATTACTTTTGAGAATAATTGGAATTTTTTCTCTTCTTTAATTCTATTTGGTCCTGCATTACATTGTTATGGTTCAGTAAACGGCGTGCAGAAACAGCCAACAGGATGACAAAATCTCCAATTAATTTAGCAAAAAATGCGTCTTTAACTTCACACCATATTTATGTGGAGCTTAAATAGTCTTCTACCAAGACCATTTTTTTGTCACCTAGTTTTATCCTTCAAACTTTACCTTACCCATGATCTTTTGAAAAAGTAATAGGCAATTGATGTTCAAAAACAGGTTACTCAATCAAAATATATATAAAAATTTAAGGAAGGAAAGGAAAGGCTTGGTAATGCCTCGAAAAAAAAAAAGTAATCTCATATTTGTTATGCCAGCTGTTCTTTAAAATTGGATTCAATAGACTTAGATAATAGATAAGGTTTTGACGAAAAGAAAAAAAGTTCAATAATTTATGGACTACCGAGCCTACCTCCCCTCCAACCATCAAACACAGAGGAAGATTGAATAAGGGATAAAAGGTTTTGTGTCTTCAACCCCGTGGGGTAGCTCAACTGATAATAGGGACAAGTTGTAAACCAGACGTCTTAAATTCGAATCTTGACAACCCTTGGAGTCAGGCCACGAGGGATTTATCCCTTATAAATACCTTAATTCTAGTATAGATGGCCTATCTTTAACCAAACCAGAAAGGGAATTAGTCAAGGTGCACGTAAGCTAACCAGACACCCTTGACCGTTGAACAAAAAAAAAAAAAGTTTTGCATTTGCATATAGATCATAAAGTGAGATTTTACAGTATCACTAATAAACTACCTCATCTTCCTTTTTTTACGCTTGCATAGAGCATTTTTGCATTTTTTTGGTCCAAGAAAGGTGTTAGCTAAATGCATAAGCTACCATCAGTGGCGACCAAATGAGTCTAACTGCCGTCTTCACAGGACTAAACGTGTAACTGTACCTTCTTGGCCAAAAGATTCAGCAACATTCTGCTTTGGATAAGCATTTAATCATGAAGGTCCAAGTCGCATATATAAGCAAAGACTGGCTTACACAATATGCAGTTTTCATCAAACTGCCACTTAATAAGGAATTTCATTAAAGCTAAAAATCTTGACACAAACCAACCCTCGGGGCTGAAATTTGATAATTTTATCACTCACTAAGGTGCAACTGCATCGAAGTTTTTGATATCTTCAAGGTGATTATAGACAAAAATGCATCATCATAAGGTTATATACCTCGGGTAGCAGTCCAGGCCTTTTATTAGATGGTAAGCGGGGAACAGATCCATCCGGAGATCTTTGAACAGTTGTGAAGCATATATTGTACTCCTGTTGGAACAGAAGTATAAATGCATGACACATGACACAAAACAGCACCAATCAACATCAATTCAGCAAGAAGATATTAAAGAAATGACAAGCTAAATGACAAAGGAAGGGACGAGAGGGATGGAGGGAGCAAGGAAGTATAGTCAACCTGAATGATGGAGGGGTAGAGACTGTTGAAGTCCAGAAGTAATATATACTTATCATATAGACCTCTTTTTGGCTCCAACACCAATCCACCCGAATAAGCAGGCCCCTTTCTCGTTTTCTCTTGTTCATTATGTGGAGACTCAATCTCAGCATCATCAACATCCAAATCATCAATTGCTTTGTCTTCAGCATCATGATTCAATTTACGTTTTGTCACTTTCAAAACCTTTAACTGAGAAGAGAACTTGTCGGGAACAATAAATTTCTTCGCATGGAACGCATGCAACAAGAGATATTCTACTCTTTGGGCCCTAGCACCCTGGAATCACATGTATCAGATGTAGAGAAATTCTAATTAATTGATGATTCCCACATACGGACTTTGTAAGATGGCAGATTAGTAGAAGCACATTGCAATGACTTACCTGCAGAGTTTTCCCCCAGAGATTACCACTTATGTTAGTCAACTGACGTGTGAGGGGAAGAACACTCAAATGGAACATGAGTTCCATTGATAACCATGCATCTGTCTCACCATATTCTATCTGCACACAATAGATACAGCACAAAAAATTTACCACCCTTACTCCAAAAAGGGCAGCAACACTTTCCAATCATAGGTGGCAAGTTGACCAGGTGACCATTCCATAAGGATAAAAAGTTAAAATTATAAGGCTAAGATGATATAGTGTGCTACTATTGGCTCATCTGGGAATTAGATACAAACTTGAGTTTCTTATGCTCTCAGAGGAGCTCAAGGCTAACTTGGTCAGAGTGATGCAAACACAATGAGACCACCACAGTTCACACAATGATGACACACTATTAGAGAAAACAGGGATACTTTGAAAATCAGCTAAATGTATTGTCTTTTGCAACCATGACATTTATCAGTACAAAAGAAAACTGAAGAGATACCTTGTGAAGTAATTAAATTAAGCAATAGAACTTACAAGTTCCAGAAGGGATCCGGAATTCTGAAACATCCTTGGAATATCACGTGGAGCAATCTCCTTCCGATCCTTGTTTAGCTGAGTCTTTGCAAGTTGTGTTAGAGAATAGCTAACCTGGAACAGACAAATTCTGACTATGAGATCAAACTATACCAAGATTACCAAGCACTTTCACAATATGATTTAGCAGCTAAAATAGTTACCTCTTTTAATAGGTCACGAGCACACAGAAAGGTATCACATAAAAGCCTGCCGGCAATGCAAGACATGATCCCTGGACTTGCTCCGGAACCAAAAGTGGTGTTTCCTTTGGTAAGCTTAGGCATGACTGAGCGCTTGAGACGGCCTAGTTTGGACCACATATTGCTAGGCACTCTGCAAGCCTATAAAATTGAATAAAAAGTACAAAGATGTCTTAGGGACAACAGCAGATCATTTATGGAGACAAGCACTGCTTTCGAGAATTGCATGCATTTGGATCATCACACAATGGTGAAAAGATCCAAAGTCACTACTTGTAAGTTGTAACATGGGATTCTTGAGAAAATCTCAATTGCAAAACAGAGTTCCAACACACCAACATCATATATACAAAAGTGAAACTGCATCCTATCAGCACTGTCAGCCCATTTTTTATGCTTTAAGATAGACATCTGACTGGAATGTATCACAGTTATACCCAGATAGATAAAAAATGGTACAGTGCTATTAGGTTCTCCATAATTTTTACAACTTTTTAAGGATACAGAAAAGAACATGTAGCCCACATAGCTTAGAAAAATAAATAAAGCACTGCTTCAAAATTACCACCTGAGCTCTGTGAAGAAGAACATCCAGGTCGAACCCAGATATATTGTGCCCCACAAGTACATCGCTATCCAATTTGTGTAATTCAATCAGGAAACGGTTCAACAAAGCTCTTTCACTGCAATATTATAGAGAGGGGGAGATAGATTAGGAGGAAGAAGCTCTTCATTGACTGGAACTGTTAAAAAAAAGGATTATTACCAGATAAGTTGACATCTAAAAAACTAAGCAGCACAATATAATTTGACAAAGGGCATGATTTACAAATGAAACCTGCCTGCTTTCAAAACTAATGACATTTGATCCCGCCTTTGAATTTCTATCTGCTGCCTCTTTGGTAAATCCCATTGGAAATATGCCTCCATCAAGCTTACGCAGTACTGTAAAATGGCTAAGCATGCCAGTTCTTTTCCATTCAGAGGCTAACATTGGAGTGTCAATCTGAAAGGTCCAGAAATGGAATTAGTAGCTAATATTAATACAACACGTTAATCAAAAGGAATACATTAAATTTAACATGTTTCATTCTTAAGCAAGGACTTTATAGGGAACAAGTCACAAATTATGACTTGATAACAACCAATATACAGGTTTTGAAAAAAAAAATGAGGAAAGTATATTTCAACTCAAGCTCACCCTGGAAACTTCAATTTATCTGGCTACATTTTTGAAACAATGATAAAGAAATTCATCCAGGAAGCTGCTAGAAAAATGATTCAACATCACAAAAGCGGGCAAATCATCTAATGCACTATGCTTCATTTGCATACTTGTACAATCCATAATGGATATTTCTTTTTTGTGGAGAGGTAATTTGTGAGACCAAATCGTTAGATTTAACGATAAAACAATCAATCTATCAAACCTAGAGAACAAAAACAGTAAGATTTATGGGCAGCATCAATAAGCTTACATAATTGAAGTAGAAGAAAAAGGTTTGACTATCTTAAAGAATAGGATCACAATTATTATATTGCCTCATCCCTCAGCAAAAGGCACTTACAGATTATGTAACCTTAATACAACACCACCAAAGAATTTATTGTTAGAATATAGTCTAGTTTATTAAGGTTTTTTTTTCCCTTTTTTTACCCTTACTAAGACTTTATATTTTGCCTAGACCACAAAGATGTTTAGATCACTTTGTATTATTATTTGAGTGTATATACGGGATTTTATTCTTAGTTTGAGTATTCCTTTTTCACTCACGTTTATTCCAAGTTGGTATCAGAGTTATACCTTAACCCTAACCCTAACCTTCACGATCATTCTCACCGGCGATCAGCAACCTTCATCACCATCCAGCCTCATCATCTTCAGCAGCTTACTTGTCCATATACTCCTAAGCAAAATAGAATTACTATTTGGTTTGGGTTTTAGATTGCAGGTGGTATGTGGGTGCAATCGGCTTTGGATTGTTTGGTCGTCGTTGCAGGCAGTGGGCAGTGGTGGTTGCTGGGGTTGCTGCTTTTTAAAACTGGGATGTTGTTTGTCGATGTTGGTTTGATGGGGTTGGTGCTTTATGAATTGAGGGAGGAGTATGTTGGTAGGAGTATGTTGTCAGTTGTATAGGTGGAGTATGTGGGTCGGTGGTTTGTGGAGTATGGGTGGCTGTCGGTATATACTGCTAATGGTATATGTCAGTGGTATATGTTTGTGGTTGTCAGTTGTATAATTGGTTTATGTGGTTCGCTAGCTGCTGCTGCTCCTCCCTGGTAGAGTGATATAGATGCTATTATTTTCTGAATGAATATACTTATATCCGCCCTGACTTCCTAGGGTCTGACTATTGCTACTGCCACCTCTACCGGTATACCTCGTGCCTTTCATGCTTACGTCAATCCGTCTTCCCTTGGATGTTGGACTCGGGTGCGAATGGTCATATGACAAGTGAGGCCCATCACTTCACCACTTTTGACGAGCAGTTACACACACAAGTTCAACTAGCAGATGGGACACATGTCCCTATTGTTTGTAGGGGCACAGTCCGCCTCCCAGATGGCTTTACATTACATTCGATTTTTCATATGCCAAAATTGGTCATGAATCTATTATCCGTACATCAGTTAACCAGAGATTTTCACTGTACGGTTGTGTTTTTATCTGATTCGTGTTATTTGCAGAACCTGAGTATCAAGAGGATTATTATCGAGGGACATGAGAGAGATGGATTGTATTATCTAGGCGATCCACCTCCATCACTTGCTTTGTCTTTATCTGTTCCTAGCTTGCATGTTAGTATTTTGCCTAGTACTTGTCGTTATGATTTTTCATCACAAACTGTTCATTTGTGGTATGACCATTTTGGACATATAAATTTTAAATATTTATGTATGTTATTTCCTACTTTGAGCAATGCTTGTGTTAATGGTAAACTTGACTGTGTTATATATTCCCTTTCGAAACATGTTCAGACTAGTTATGTTCCTCGCATGCACCAGTACCCAAGCCATTTGACCTACACTTTGATATTTGGGAATCCTCTCCTATTATTACTCTATCAGGTGCTCAATACTATGTGACATTTATAGATGATCATAAACGTTGTACTTGAGTCTACCTTTTACATAAGAAGTTTGATGTACTCCCTGTCATCACTCAGTTTCTCCAAATGATTAAGACACAATTCGATGTTATTGTTTGTACTCTTCGTTCGGATAATGCCAAAGAATATGTGTCCGATACCTTAGTGTCTCACCTTTCCTCTCAGGATATCCTTTAGCAGCTCACTTATCCATATACTCTTGAGCAAAATAGAGTTACTGAAAAAAAAATAAGAGTCTAATAGGGATGGTACGTTGTATGCTTAGAGGTATGGGAGTTCTAAAATCTTATTGGCATTTTATTGCTTTGACTTCTATCTTTTTTGTGTAATCATAAACCGAGTCGTGTTCTTCAGCATAGGGCTCCCTTACAAGTCTTATTTCTTGAGCAGACACTTTTTTCGGTCCCCCCTAGTGTTTTTTGTTGTACATATTTTGTTCAGGATCGGTCTCCTACTCGTCATAAACTTAATGATAAAACGATTCGTTATGACTTTGTGGGTTATTGTCATCAGTCAAAGGGGTATCGGTGTTATGATCCTGTCAGACGCCGTATATATCATCGTCTAGATGTTACCTTTCTTGAGCACATTCTTTATTTTTCTTCCAGTCTTGTGTCTGCCCCTCTAGTTGATGATACTCCTTTTGATTTTCCGTTACCATAGGAGTCAGAGCCATTGATCACTATCACTATAGAGTCATCAGTCTCTCCTCCTGCAGAGCCACTCTTCCCTGTTAGTACAAAGTCACTAGTCTCTCTTCCTTTACAGGTTTATGTTCATAGCGAGGTATCCACAGCTTGATCGCCGTCCAATTGTTCGTTATGGCTAGACCGCCAAGACTTTATATTCGATCTCTGCTTATGTTTTTTACGGTGATATTTCTCCTATATTTTGAGCTTATAGTATGACCTTATCAGATACGCCAGTTCTTCGCTCTGTTTCAGAGGCTATACAAGAGCCCCTGTGGATTCTTCCCATGCAAACAGAGATGGACGCTCTTCAGTGTAATCATACGTGTAATCTTGTCTCTTACCTTCAGGGGTGAAGCCTGTTAGTTGTTGTTGGGTTTACAACCTAAAGTTTCTTGCAGATGATATTGTTGGTCGTCACAAGGCTAGGTTTGTGGCAAAGGGCTTTACTCAGGTACCAGGTTGTGATTTTGGTACTACCTTTGCCCTCGTGGCAAAATTGACTATTGTTCGATTAATTATTTCTCTGGCTGTGAAGTACTCTTAACCTCTTCATCAGTTGGATATGAAGAATACATTTTTTCATAGTGATTTAGACGAGATTATTTATATGGATGCACCACCGGGCTTTCGTGGTGAAGGGGAGTATACTGAAAAGGTATGTCGACTGCGTAAGTCTCTCTATGAACTAAAACAGTCACCACGAGTCTGTTTCTCTCGCTTTAGTGACGTAGTTGTACGTTTAGAGTTTACCAGATGTCATTCTGATCATACCTACTTTATTCAACGAAATACTTCTGGACAGTGTGTCATCTTTTTGGTATATGTTGATTAGGGAAGGTAGTGGACCGAAAAAAAACGGGTATTCGTCCAAACCCGTCCCATTTAGATCGGGGATGGACTATACGTATTGGACGGTGGACGTATACAGAAATACCAGTATAAACCCGTGTGGGGATGAAGGCAAGGATGGACTTACACTTACCCCCGCCCCGTCTCCGTTACCTGTTAAATATATATATATAGGTCACATATAGGTAATTACATTGATCACGTAAAGGCTTCTTTACTTACTGAAAGAACAATTTGGCTTGGGGTAAAATCACGTATAGGTCATTACATTGATCAATTACTTCTTCATTACATTCTGTATTTTTTTTAAAATTAAAGAGGAGTTCACCAGATGAAATTTCTTGGCATAGGTGGTTTAAAATTTTATTAAAAGTTCCAGAACCATAAATACCTTTTACATTGGGCTTTTATCATCCTTTACTTGCATTCCATGTGTGATGTCATTAATGGATGTCATAATTTCAGAACACATAGATGACATATCTATGGGTTCCCTTCTTTCTGTCAATTTAGCAAATATTTTTGGAACATTATGCAGGTCATGGCCTTGTTGAAACAGACCATAGCAATTTCCATGGAATTGTAGATAATTATCTCTCAAAATAATTTTCCTTGTTTCAACATAATTGAGTGCAAAGAAAAGAAGACATTTTTTATATTGTTACATCTTCTATTCCGATCATAGCAAAAAAAAAAATTTAGTTATTTTAATTCTTATGACTTGCTTGTGCTTGAGCGGGTACGGGGGAAGCGGATACGGGGACAGGAATTATAAATTTATCTGCGGACAGGGAAAGGAATAAAAATTATACCAATTAGCGGAACTGGACCGGGGATGGACAAAGGTTTTTTAAGCGGGTACGGGGATGAAGACTATACCCCCCTCTACTTCGATCCATTGACATCCCTAATGTTGATGATATTATTATTACTGGAGATGATGTTTCTGGGACTGTGCATGTCAAGGTAGACCTTGGGAAGGCCTTCGATGTGAAGGACCTTGAATTTCTACAATACTTTCCTGGGATTAAGGTTACTCGTAGCAGCAGGGGTATTGTTTTTTCTCAAAGGAAGTATGTTATGGATCTTCTCTCAGACACTGGGATGCTGGAGTGCAAACCGGTATCATCACCCATGATTCCAAACCTGAAGATTACTGATGAAGGTGAGGAGTTGAAAGATCCAACTGTCTATCAGAGGTTAGTAGGTAGACTTATCTACCTAACCAACACCATGCCAGACATTTCATTCGCTGTCAGCTGAATTAGTCAGTTCATGCACAAGCCGCGTCAGCCTCATCTTGATGCAGTTTATCATATTCTTCGGTACCTCAAGTCTTGTCT